GATTGAGGGTGGAAAGTATATTTCATTGCTACTGAGGTATGAAGAAAATCAATCATAAGAGAGGGTTAAAACTTCTACAGGAATCTATTGCATCTTTGAAGCTTGCTAGGGTGTTTTTGTTTGTAGACCAACCATGAACAATAATACTGCTTGCACATGGTTTACCAAGAATTGCTAACTAACCTAAAGCTTCTTCAGTGATAAAGGAGTCAGTCTTCCATTTTTTGGAGAGTACTCAGATTCCTAAGTCCATTTACCCTGATTACAGATTTGCTTTACTTTTCTGTGTAATATGTAGCAGCAGTAGAGGAAAAAGTGTTGCCTACACAGTACATGGATTTTTTTTTTTAATTCATGCTTTTGACAATTTCACAGAGATCAAGGCTGTGATTTACTCTCTCTGAGGACAAAGTTTATAATGATCTTGGCCATGAGATGTTTGTAGACTAATACAGAAGTTGTGAAACAAATGTGAGTTGAAACTGGGGAAAAGGAGTAATAAAATAACTACTCTAACATCAGATTGGGAAAATGACCTAGATTAACTTAGGGCAGTGCTGTTGCAAGACCGAGGTATTGTATGACATGTGGGACGTACAGGAGACGAAGCAGAGCAGATCGAGGGCATGCACACAGTCAAATGTCCTTTAAATAGAGGCAATGCAGGCTTCACTAGCTGTCTTGCCTGGTTTGGAGCCCTGAAGGAATGCAACAGTGCATGAAATGAGTAAAAATTTGGAGGCTGCTAGAGTTGTCTTGTCTTGGGTACAGCAGCAGTGGTTAGAAGAGTCTGGAGACTTTACATTTAGAAGAGCTGCCCCGATCCATCAGGGACCCATGTGAGATGAGTTGAGGAGAGAAACAGTAGCTGGTGCTCATTTTCTTTGCATGAGATAGGAATTGATGCGCAGAGGAGCAATGGCAGTAACCCTGTGCCATCCAGGAGGTTTCCAATATGTATAAACTATCCTCTTACAATTAATTCAACTTTACACTTGCCTCTGGACTCTTTGGCTAATTCTCCAGCATTTCTATAGCACTCCTGTGTGACTGCAAATAATTCTTGTCTCGATTTCTATCTCTGTAAAACTAGAATAATTATAGTTGCCACTGATAACTTGAAGCTAGGGGTTAATAAGTTGTCCTGAGCCTCCTAGAGGGAAGATGATGAATGAAAGAGAAATATTGTATTGCATGCAGGTTTTAGGCAACTAGTTCAAATATAAACCATTTTTATTTACTGGGTCCTGTTCTAATACTCAGAAATACACCTCTAAAGAGAGAGACAGAACCTGTTCAGTGGATGTTATTAGGTTTTTTTCTTCAACCCCCTTTAATGGGAAGGAGTTGGGGGAAAGAAAGTGTTCCTGTCATCCACAACTCCTCTTAAAACAACAACAAAAGGCAGGGGAAAAAACCAACGCTCAACCTGCATAGTTACGGAAATGGAAAATGTTGAGCTATGTGTTTTTTTTCTTGTGGTTAGCTGTGTTTTGAAAACAGAGATACAAGCACCCGATGAAATGGAAGCAGCAACAGAGGGAAAAGCATGATAACAGAGTTGTTCTATTTAACTTCTAGTAGGAAAAAAGTGTCTTATTTCCACCTCATGCTCAACAGCTGTTCAATAGACTTTTCCAGCCTGCGGTGCCCTGCGAGAAGGCAAGGGGAAGATGGAATGACCTCTCCTGAGCTTTGTAAGCCCTCGCAGGTGCTGCATGGTCCTGTGTGGGCCAGCGTGTCCAGGGAGTGCAGGCCATGGGGAGGGATGACACCACTGAACCTGGTAGGACACCTGTAGGAGTTTTTGGGCTGTCCAGCATCTGCCTCCCCTCTCACTGCTCATCCCCACTGCGAGTCCCTGCCTTAGAAAGTGAGGCTCCCCCAGATCAGCGGGGAGGGCCACCTCTCACCTGCATGGCTTCAGAATAGAGGTTGGCTTCTGGTTTGGAAAAATAGGCAGGTCATTAAGCTTTATGACCAACATCCTGCACCAAATACGAATTTCTTGGTCAAGCCTCAAAGAGCATGAGATAAAATCATTTCGTCTAAATTATAAAGAAAATGCTTTGTCAGTGTACATAAATGGAGATTGTAAGAACTAGTTATAGAAGACAAACTTATTTTGTAAGGTTATTATTAATCTTTAATCCATTTCTTCCTCCTGTATTTGTTGCTATTAACAAATGGCTAGTTGCTACTAAGTATAATGATAAGTTAGCATTAGAAGTTTATGAAAAATCTCTAATGATGAGACTGACTCAAGCACTGAAGTTTAATACTCTCTAAATCTGTTTTATAGTGGATGAATGTTTTTCTTTGGTTTGGTGCCTCTGAATCTGTTTTAATTTGTACTGGAATGGTTTAATAATTGATGAGAAAGCATCAGCATAATAAATATGGTGATTATACCATAGGACTACTTGTGTGTTAGTTTTGCTCCTTGGGGTACTTATATGATAGTCAAAGGTGAACAGTAGAAGGACAGAGATGTGGTGCAAAGTTCTATGAAATCTTTGTTGCTTGGGACCAAATTTGTATCACTTAGGATATATTTAGAAGCTAAATAAACATTCAAAAGGGCTTAAGTAGACTAGGTGCCTAGCTACAGGGAAGTTATTTACTATCTTGTTCTCTGTGCTTATACATAGCTGCATGAGTTGACATTTGATATTTAAGGCAAACAGTAAAGATGGGAAAGGAATCTGTAGAGGAGAGCATGACTGTTGAAAATGTTTTTGAGATTTTAGTTTTCATTCTGTGTATCTTGGAAGAACCAAGAGAAAATATTGATAACAACATACCATTTTTGCTTTTTTTCTACATCTGATTCTGTTTCCGGGTTTTTTTTTCCCCCTTGCCTTAGGGTCTGGGATACCATGACTGAATCTTCTTAAAAAGATCATATGCATTTTGATTAGTTCAGATGTCCTACTTGCTCTTGCAGCACCGTGCTTTATAGGTTCATTCACAATCCTGCCTATATATGTTACTCTTACTGACGGTCACTGATGCAGAAGACGTGAAAAGTTAATCAGTATCTCTTCTCCAACTCAACTGAATTATAAGAATTTGAGTCACAGTGTATTTCTTTTCCTAAAGTTTGTTGAGGATGATATTTCTTCTTGTAGATAGGAGCTGATGGAAAAAATTAATATTCTGAACACTGAATTTCATTTCTGGGATTAAAGATAATCCTGATCTAAAAATCACAACTGGCTTTGGGTTTGTAGAACAATGTAATTTAAACAACCCCCTTTGGAATTTAATTATCCTTAATATCACAATATTTACATCTTCATCAACAGGAGATACCAGTGTTTACAAAATATATGCAGAAGAGTGTTTAATTCTTAAGAGTGAAAATTACAATGCATCATATATCATCCTGGTACAGTACTGAAAAGAATGGTGTTAGCTACTGTCATTACTTTGAGGAAAAGCTCAGCTATATAAATGGAAAAGCATATCCCTAGCAAAGTGAGTTTGGTCTCTGGCAGGCCTTTATTTTCAATAATTTATAAGTAGGTCATCAAGTCTGATAGGCAGTTTTTCAGGGAAGTTAGCAAAAGAAACTGAGATCTGAAGTCAGAACTATAATGTTAACTAAATATGTTAGTGGAAATACTATTTTCTGAGAAAAGGCATCAAAATCACTTGTGTTTAAGTTACTATCTGTGTGTCATAGGTATATTTGAATTTATACACATAACTTTATATGGAGAACTGTGATGCTACACCATAAAGCATCTTCTGAAGATCAGCCTCAACCACTCTGATAGGCACTTTTGAATAAATGGCAAAATGGGACAATGAAAACATAAAAACAATATCTAGCCTAGACTTCTTCATACGTCATTAACCTATGTGCTTGTGGTAGATATGATTATGGTTGAATTCTTTGAGCTGGTCATACCACCTGTATGTATACCTCATTAATTTTTTATAATTGTATAATATGCTTCTGTCAATATATAGTTTACTGCTTGTTCAAGTATTTCATGGGCTAAAGGTCTCAATGACTGCAAAACAAAGTTGTGTAAACAGATCACAGGGGCTGCTGCTGTTCACGTTGGCACTCAGTTTGCTCAGGTCTAGGGATCTATGACATGAAGCTTGGAGAGCAAAAAGTGTTGGGAGGCATGTAAGAAAATGAGCAAGCCAGAACAATGTGCTTTGGGATACCAGTCCCTAGTCTGAGGTTTTGGCAGAGCAAAAGTAATCTTCCATCAACAGCTTCAGTTTTAACCAATTTCTGCTGGAAATCAAATGAGAGAGGAAATTTCACACAGATCAGAAGTTTGTATACTCATAACGAATGCATCTTGTTAATGGGTATGGCTGGAGTAAGCACAGAGGAATCTGGATTAAGTCCAAGTGACAGGAATAAAACCAAAACTATCCTGTGGCTTTATGAAATCAATTAAAGGGTCACATGAGAGCCCACTGAGGAAAAGGGTCTAAATATCAGCGGGGCATGTGCTGGCTACATGTGTCACATCCTTTGCAGATGCATTGGCTGATTTATGAAAACCTTCCTGCTTGTTTGAATTAAGCATGCAGTACCCATTCCATTCTTGTCACCTTTAGAAAAGGATGTTTTTCCCCTGTGTTGCCTCCGTTAATGTGAATGATGCTATCCCTTGGAGGCTCTGCATTAAAGCTGGCCAAGAATGAATAATTAGCAGTGGGCACAAGTACACTTCACTTCAGGCCTTGGATTGTTGCTATTAGCCAAATCTATTGCTTTATTGCTAAGGCAGTGAGGCCACCTGATTGCAGGAGCTTTTTCTGGGATGAATTTTGGTGTTACACAACAATTCCTTTCAAAGTCTAAAGCAAATACTTTAATTTATATTACAATTTAAAAAATTGCTCCTGGAGGAGTGGGACAGCTCTTGAATGTGTGCATGTATTCTGACATTTAAAAAAAAAATATATTGAATTTTTCCTCAGATTGTTGATAATGTTAATTGCATTGCTGTGAGGAATTGCAAATTATGGAGAGTTCGGCAGCAGCAGGCAGCGCGTTCATGCTCAGCGCCAACTCCATCATCCCCAGTCTAGAGGCAAAGCAAGACAGGAACTTGGAGAGGAAAGAAATGGAGCAGGGAAGGTGCGGGTCTGACTGGAGACGTGCAGAGGCCAATGCTGCCAGCAGCACTGTCAGAGATGGAGTCAGGATGGACACATTGCAAGAACAAATGGGTAAGACCTCAATCAATATATCCTGGTCACTCTGCTCTTGACTTTTCTTTGTATTTAAATTACCATGTTATTTAGACATTACTTGCTGTGCACAAGCAGAGGACTGTCACGTGTCAGCTGAGGGTTTTTTTTTTTTAAAGCCACCTACAACTGTTCAATGCAACAAAACAAACTGCTATATTTCCCCCATGGCGATGCTGCATAGGTTGGGCTATTAAACAATCTATATTGAAATTCACTTTGGGCAGACAAATGGATTATCTCTAAGTTAGACTGAGATGAAAACTATCAGAACCCAAGAGCCAGAATACCAAAACGTAAGCTCATTGTCTAGCAGTTTTTGCTATAATGTCTCAGATTCAGAAGCAAAGACAAGATAGGCTGGTTGTTTCTATTTCAATAAAATTCTTAGATTTCTGTTTTTATCAAAAGACAGGATATCTTTATTTTTCTGCAAATGAAAACCTATTTCATGCAGTAAAAACATGCAAGTCAGTAACACTTTTTGGGTGGAAAGGTAGAGAGGCATAGGTGGCTGTGTCTCAAAACCAGTGGCAAGACTCTTACTTTATAGTAGGCCTGAGAGCTTTCTGAATGTGAAAATACTTCAAGCAATCATGGAAAAAACTGTTTCATATAAAATTATATGTCCTATGGCTTAGATAATGTCTTTCTGTTCACAACTGCAACTCTGCTGAGAACACAGGGTAGAAGCATCCCAGGCAGTATAAAGTTTCTCTTCAGCTTGCCAAGAAGTATCAAGTCATCCCATCATTTAGGAATGGGCACGGAGTTTGTGTTAAGTCTTTGAATCTAATTATAGCACTTTAAACAGTCTCAATGTTTAAAAAGTATTTATAGTAACTCTTATGCTCTTGCTCAAATTTAATAGCAAACTATTATTTGTAATTAAGCTCCCATCAGTAATGAAATGCTTGCTCATAGTTTTTGCTTTTTCCTAAAAGTCATAGAAATTAGGTTTTATTTTTAAAATATTACCCACTTGATGTTCATGTGTCAAGAAATACCTTTCAAGAAAAGCCTATAACCGGTAATAATAAAATAATTGTAACAGCAAGTTTACATACCAAAACCATATGCTAATTATTTGTCCTTATCAACTGTCAAATGATGATTAAAGCAATTGATAACATGTTTTCAAAGTTTTGACAATTGCTCTGTATGTACTTCTGACTAAAACAAGGAAAAGCAGGACTACAACTAAGTATGGTCCCAGAAGTTGTGGGGAACTTAAATTTAAAATGTTGCTTAAATAAAGTCAGCCTACACTGCAGTGAGCTTACTATCAAATTTCTATTTAAAAAACAAATGTTGAGTCCAGATTAAAAAAAATCAAAAAACCCCAATGCCCCTGTCAAACACCCAACCAAAACTCAACAGAAACCAAAGTGCTTAGGAACTGTAATTTATAATTCTAGTATATGCTAATAATTGGCCTTAAAGATTATGGTTTTACTGCTTTTTTCTGAAGTAGGAAAATTCTGTTTGTTTATCCTCATTTATCTGCACGAATTTGTTCATGTAACATCAACAGATGCACTCAAGGGAAGATGCAGAAGACTTAGGAATTACCATGTCCTACTATATTACAAGTTTTTTCTTAAAAGCAGAGCTGCAGAGGAAAATGTCTTAGGACACATGAAAATTGCCTCAGAAGTTTTCTTTTAAAAGTTAAAGTTCTATTTCTCCCACTTCTATTCTTGGAAGTATCAAGCCTTGTCTTCACTGATTTTTGCTAAGGGTATCTTGAGAAAATGGAATTGTTTGGAGTGGGTGTTTCTTCAGCATGAAAATGTATAATTTCCAAAAGGACTGGAAGAAATATGGGCTGGAAAAGAAAAAAAAAATTATTAACATAAAATATACTTATTTTGTGTTATTTTTCTGAAACTTCAAATCACTTGTTTTTGCATTACACCCTCCCAAGTATTAAGCTTGTAACAAACAAAGAAAAGGATTATTTCTCTCCATGTATGCATTGGTACAAGGCACTCATATCATTGCAAATTTATACCACTGAAGGTGTGGCAAAGGCCACTTTTTAGTATAGGTGCAAGGGAAGAGAAAATGAAGTCTTGACCCTTGCTCCCTTCCAAATGGGAGCTCAGTTTCCACCAATTCTCCATCATGAAGCTTCACATCAAAATGATGAAATCAAGATTTAACTTCTTCCCCAGTAGGACAGAAATGATCTTCAGATACTTTTTGTGGGTTTGGGGAATTATGTAACAGGAAGGGTAAAATGGATAGTTATTTTCTTTTAGTAATTATCCAATGCAACAAAAGCTTTCCAAGTGTGGGGTGTTGTTTCTTTTTTTCAGTATGAATTGTATGGACTCAGAAAATGCACTTAACCATTCCTTTAATTTATCATAGAGTGTTCTGAAAGTGAAAAATGCACAAATGTCAGTTCAAGGACCCTTCCCAGTCAAGCAGAGAATTTTCCGACTGGTAAGATGTTTTCTTCCATCATATCTTATAAATACAATGCTTTTCTCATTGCTTGCTTTTTTTTTTTTTTGAGCCAACTACATCAATAACATTTGCAGCCATCACTCCTGTAACTTTATAACATACTTCATGGTACCTGTGAAGTGTCCAACTTCTACATACGATTTGTTGAGAATTTCTCATAAAAAGAGAGAAGTAACTTATTAACTACTATAAAAGCCAGAAACAATTTATAGACTATATTGTAATGGCTAATAAAAAAGCAAATTAGAAGTTCATTGCTTATTTTATGTATGGGTTTCAATTCTTCAGCTGTCTTATTTTTTAAGTTTGTAGCCTTTCCAAGCCTTAATTTTTTTTTTTTTTTTATGCTGTATTTTCAATGAAATTGCAGTTGAGTGAAGCTCTTCAGTAAGTAGGCACAGCCTTCTGGAGGGCTCACGGCCCCTCTGTGCGTGGAAGGTGTAGTCACATTTCCCTTCTCTTCCTTGTGGAGGAAGAGAAATAACCATCAAAAACCAACACTGGGATGCACTCTGCTTTCTGGCTCGACCTGACAAATCACATCAGTGCGAGACAGTCTCCCCCAGGCATATGGTTATTTGAAGTTAAAATTTTTGTGCTTATGTATCTGTTTGTCTCACTCCATACAAAATTTGGGTTGTTCTTAACTGGGGGTATAGATCAGAGCTCACCAAAGCAAGACAGGAAGATTACCATAGGTGCAATGGATTTTTGCACCATGTTTCATTTCCGTAAGGCATTATTAATAGTTCTTTTGGCAGAAGCACCCATATTTCACTTGTTTTAATTCAATGTAATTATTATTTAAGTAATATGAACTTTATATAAGACTTAAATATGTAACTGTAGAAACACAATTTAACTTGGAGTCAATTTGATTAGGTAAAACAAAAAATTAAATTTTTAAGTAATAGTCTTTTCTTGTGTTGGTATCATTACGGCTTCAGGTAAAATGAAAAGGTCAACAATACTGTTAGTTAACAGTGATTCAAGTAACATTCAAAGACCCTAGTTTGTGTTCTTTGAACTAATAATTGACTGTATGACCACAGCTTAAACAGAGAGGTCTTGTAATTCAGTAATACTGCTTTATATTTCTGAGCCACCCTTCCTGACCTTAAAGTAATGAGTAATTTTGGTGCAAGTCATCATAAAACTCCTGGAGCCATACCTAGGAAGCCCTCTGAAAACAGATTAAGATGCAGCATATTAGACTAGAATGTGAAAAATATGTATTTTGCCTGATTAAAAGGTGAAACTCAGAGGAGCTAGAGTATTTTAGGATGTACAGCAATCCCATTTATTGCTGGAAGCATGACTGGAATTCTTCCTGAGTGCGTATTATTGTCTTATATGTACCCACCTAGGTATCTGAAAACTTAGGAATATGATTTATTGAGTTAAATTATTAGCATGAAAAATGAAAGTAGTTTTATCAAAGATCCTCTTTATCTGAGAGAAGCTGGCTGAAACT